AACATAAAAAGATTTAAGGTAGTTTTTTTTTTCGTTATTTCTCGTCTTTAATAGTTTGAAATACAAAGATTATATTAGTAATTATTTATTTATATATTAATAATTATATATAGTCTGTTTTTTATAGCTGTACTGGCTGCACTAATTCAGAGTTTATCTTTTTCTCTTCACATTGGAAGAAGAAAGATAAGCTCTGAACTAGTGCAGCTAGTTCAGCTATAAAGAACACATCAAAAACAGCAGTTGAGGCCATTTTCTATCCTGTTCATGATCAACAGTCACGATGTATAAATATCTAGATACGATATATACGACTCGAGCGCGCCAAAAATTGATGCAACTTCATGGCATTGGCATCTGTTGGGTGTTGGGTTAGGTGTGATTCCTATCGGCAGAACCATTCACCGGTGTAAAAGATTCAAAGTCTCGTGGAAATAATATCGGCTGTCCGAGTTGCTGTTGGACTTTGGTAAGTGTCGTAAGCGAAAATGAATTGCAATCGTGACGAAACGTACCGTTTACGTGCATTTACGACTTACGAATTGCGCGTGCAAGGGGGGGGGGTGTTATAACCTCAACTCTTCGATTTTCAAAATGGCGTATGCCCGTTTCGAGAGATAGGCGGAAAGCTCGCGCGTCGTTATCGTGTTAAGTTCCCTCTTGAGCTTTCATCGTTTTATATCGTGAGCACGATTATCCCGTTCACGCGAAATTTCCGCTAATGTAGTTATAGACGTAGAGTGTAGAAAATTTTCTTTTCTCTCTTTCGTATATTTTTTTTTTCTTTCATTTCTTGATGGAAATCCCGACGGAAATTTTCCTCGCGGCGTTCTCCGTGATATTCAGTCTACTAATAGTATTCCTCCTTGTTGTGATGGGTAAGCAACTATTATCGACTCGATTATGAAATATGACGTAATCATATAATCGGAAGTTTCTTGGCTCGCAAGGGAGGTTGTGAAAGTAGCCTCTCCTACTTTATGTTGTGTTGAATGTATTGTTATTTATGTACATACACTATACATGTATGATTATGTATAGGTATAGATAGGTACCCAAGCACATTCTAATAATTTATAAATTTAATGCAACTCTTTTATGTTGTTCCCTCTACTACTTTTCTATCTACTTCTAATTAGCATATCTTACTTGCATTATCACGATCGACATATTTACATCGTTTTTTCGAAGAATAGTATTGTAAAATATATTTGAGTATGAAATTATAATATTTGAATCTATAAAAGTTAATAAAATAAAAATCTAGATTAGCTATTTAATCATGTAAACAAATTTTCAAATTGTTTTCAATTCAAACGCTAAAAGTTAGTGAATATAATTTATATATTTTATATTATTATTGCTTTGTTTTAATATCGAATTAATATCACATAATAATTTCTTTTGTCACAGGTTGGTACTTAGTCTGGACGTTCTTCCTATCGCGATTCCGCTTTGTAAGAGAATTGACTGGGAAAGGAATGAGCGAATCGTCGTCCGTTAACGATTTGAAGAACGGTCGCTCACGTATTAAGAAACTTCGCCGTGATTAATTGGACAATATTAAAGCTATCACATTTATATGAACGACTGCATAAGACAAAACATATCTGACTAAGATGTCTGTAAATATACGTTGTGCAACTACAGAAGACTTATTAAATATACAGCATTGTAATTTGCAATGCTTACCTGAAAATTACCAGATGAAGTACTATCTGTACCACGCTCTTTCCTGGCCGCAGCTAAGTTATGTGGCTGAAGATGAGAAAGGAAGAATAGTAGGATACGTGCTCGCCAAGATGGAGGAGGATTGCGAAGACAATCCCCATGGACATATTACCAGTTTGGCAGTGAAACGCTCTCATAGAAGATTGGGAATCGCACAGAAATTGATGAATCAGGCGTCTAGAGCGATGGTGGAATGTTTTGGAGCGAAGTACGTTTCATTGCACGTTCGCAGAAGTAATCGTGCAGCTCTCAACTTATACACAAGTAGTTTGCAATTTGAAGTGTCTGAGGTAGAGCCGAAATACTACGCGGACGGTGAAGATGCTTATGCAATGAAGCGAGATCTCACTAGCTTTCACCATGAAAAGGCTCTTAGAGACAGAGCACATAAGGAGGGCAATGTTCATACACATCTTGGCAGATGTTGTGGTGATCACTCTTAGGTCTGTCCATCACTGTTGCTGTCAAAACCAGGTTGGTTCTTAAAACTGAATAAACTTGAAAACACATTCATTTAATATTTTGTGCTAAGGAATATAAATAAAAATTATCGAATACTGATTAATTGAATATAATTATCAATACGTAAAGTTACTTCTTATGGAGCTTCTACTTATCAAATTATGACCGGGTACATATTGATAAAAATGTTTTATGTACAACTATGCACAGAAACTACTTGTTGAGGTTTGCACAATAGAGGGAGATTGGACTTTGGGGCTGTTTTATCTGTCAATTGACAGTTTATATTGCATAGATATATATTGTATGTGAGTTTCGTTCACACATCAAAATGTAATAAAAATTAATAAATTGTAACATAAAGAATAAAGGAGTTTCTGAAATAACTGTCTTATTTTTCACAATCTTTTTTTTTTTTCTCTTTGAGACTTTATTGTATGAACGAAACTATAATGTACAAATAATGCGCCAATATGCAAAATTAATCTTTCAGGGCATTATTAAGATGTTATTGAAAAAAAGAACAGTAGGAAAAAAATATTTTACAATTCTGAGAACATGTGGACTCAGTTTACGCACTTTTGACTTACATTACAATCGAGTTTTATATGAATACGTTTCTCGATAGATATTTTCTTTTTCAAATACTTCTTGATTATTTCAGCATATTTTGGCTTAAAAATTATTTTTGACATTGCACGATATTCAAACATGTTTATTCCACTATTGCATCTCGGACATACTATTGCGCACGTGTGTGTGTGTATACATACTCCGTTTTTGTAATAGGAATAGTTATGTATATATATAATATATAATATGTATAAATATATATCTATGTATATATACAAATAAGGTGTTCTTAACGTAACATAATCAATTATTTAGTTCATAACGCATCTCGGCTTTGCATTGAACGGCACGAAGAAATCTTCAATGATAAAACGCAGGAATCGTCCTCGCGCGTACTATATTATACTACCGAAAGCATGATTCATTATGATAAACCGAGTTTTCGATGTGTAGTAAATTCCTCTAAAACGATATCACGTACGCTATATCGAGAGTTTCTTTCTTTTTTTCCAATTTTTTCATCTCAATCTTAGAATAATCGCTCTCGATATGTAGCTTGTAGTATAGTAAGTATTTCTTATGTTTATAATAACATGAAATACCGTTGTGTGTATATATATGTTTAACGAATGTATGATCGCAAGAATAGTATACAATTACTACGAAAGGATTATCCAGGTACAATGTACAAAAGGGAAATTAGAGGGAAATGACGAATTGTGTTTTCATTGGCGAAAATAAAACAACATTCGTCAGCTTGCATTAAAAAAAGGAGAAACTATTAATACTTAATGACATGATATACCTGAATATACGATAGTTGAACGTGAATGATAAGCACCTATCGACTATCATATAAACTTCGAAATATACAATTCTAGATTCTACATAACTGCCATGTGTATTATATTACAAAAAACGCTTCGCTAATAAATTATAATACAGGTCTCGAGGTTCATGTATAAACGTTTTTCTATATGCGATATGCTTGGATATATAATTTTTAAAAAATAAACTGTAGAATATATCTCAATGTCATAAGTCGCGCCTTCAAAAAGAATCGCTTCATCTATGTCACAATAGTAATTACAACAATCAATCTCTTAATTGAGAAAGAAGAATGTCGAAAGATAAAAATCCTCACATGGAGTAAAAAAAATCTATTAAATGCTCGTTATCGTTAAAGCTGCAACAAAACAGCCGATTATATTTTAATATACGCTAGAAATATACATATAACCGCGTCACAGTCACACAATTATATCTCCATTGTTTAATCGAGGCGCAGTAGAACTCCAATAAATAAGTTGGATAGTTTCGCGAATTGTATTGAGTGGATCCTACTAGTCGCAAGTTATTTTTAAGTACACTTTCGCATGTGGATGCCAACGAAACAACTTGCGTCGCAAATTAGCGGTTGGATCGTATACGTATTCCTAACTTCGATAATTATTTAAAAATAAATTATGGTCTTTTGGTGATACTTTAATATGAAAAAAAGATTAATTATAATTGTATGTTAAAATATAAGAAAGACTGTTTTGATGGCTAGATAATTACAAAAATGCAATTCCATGACCGATTTATCTATATATAATAATATAGAAATGCAAAACGTGTAGAAAAAATGATAACACAATCTTTACGATATTCTCTAGATATTTGCGTTGTTTGCGTCAGTCTCTATTTATAGAGAACTCGAATGTGCGTTAAATTAATAAAAACATTCGTTTTATAAAAATTCACTTTATAAAAAAGATTTCGTTAGAGAAAAGAAATTTGCGAATACGCGTAGAGTTGCCGTTAAAATTCTTATAATAATACTTTATTCGATCCGCCGCTGATTGCGGTTCACGGTGTGCGCTCGTGACTAATTTTCGCTGTTATGGAAGAGCCTGGTAAAAAGGCCTGGGCGCTCGAAAAATTCGTAACCCAGTAGTAAAAGCTTCGTATAAAATTTTCGTTTAAAGTTGTCCTCCAAAAGAATCGTTTGTAACAAGTAATATAAGTTCGCCTCTGTGTGCAGGATATTCCACAAAGTGTGTTCCCTGCATTGAATTTTCTCTCTCTTGGTGTCAATTTTCCAACATACGTTCGAACTAGAAAAACAGAAACGCGGTTGTTCCTCAATTCGACATTAGTATTCATATCGATCTTTCGCGTTATCTTTAATAGCAATATCAGTTAATTGTAGCTTGATTTATTCTTTTATTTATTTTTTTTTTTTTAAATCTAGTCCTAGAGGATCAGCGAAACTAAAATTATAATTAACCGACATCCATGAATTCAGCTCTAAAAGAGAGATATGAATACGCGTTGTCGTATATGTATGTTCTACTGTATATTGTATACGTACATCTATGAGACCACTAACACGTTTAGCTGCGTACGTTGTTGGCGTGTATCCGAAATGAGCTCCATTCCGAAACGAGTGGATAACCTCGGTGCCTATCAAGTCGCGAATTCGTGGAAGCCCATTTCGGGAATGCTTCGCACGTGCCGGAAAGCTATTGTTATAACTCTTCGTTATACTCCACACGTCTACCTGAAATGTCTAGATGAACGATACGGCTACATATTTTCTATGAAAGATTACAATGTGTTAATATTCTCGAGTACATTACAAAGACACTCGTTCCAAGGTTTCCTTCGCTTCTTATGATCTAAATACCGGAGCTTTGGCAGTAGCAGGTTTCTATTTTAGGCCACAAATTTTTTTTATAATGCAAAGGGATAATTAGCTCTGTACTATACACACGAAGTGTGTGAGTATCCGGGGATTTGGTTTTTGCTTTGTGAAGCATATATACTGATCATCTCGTTTGATTATCTCGCCGTTTAGAGTTAAAAATACTGTCGTCAGGATCCCAAGCAAACTTCTTTTGCTCTAATGCTCGTTCTCTTTCGGTAAAAATATCAGATGCCTTCAATACCACATGTATTTTTCGTGGTATTCTTTGATGATGGCTGAATCTCGAGATAACAGCAACCATCAACGATTCACATCTCGTAGATAACGCTTGAAGGACCATCCACTGAAAATTTCCTGAGATACTTTTGATCCATTTTTATACAAGAAAAAATATTCATTCTATGAACGCGCTGCAAATTATCAGCGAGATTCGCTCAAAATCTTGACAAAAAAAACGTGGACAACAGATTCGATATGATTCTTCGAGCGTTGTCTTCGAATTATCAACACGATCGCGATATCAAATCCGATCGCAAGGTGTAAATCCTAAGGTGCATCGTGTTTCAATCTTCCGCAATCTCAGAGTTTAACAAAAAAAAAATTACCAATCGTAAAGATTGCATTTCAATTCAAGGAACTTGTAGTTACGCGACTGCGTTGTGACAAAAATCTTCAAGGCTGTTGAGCGGATTGTATCATGGCGACTTTGAGATCCTTAGCCAGATGTGAGACATCGACGACGCTGTCGACCATTTCCTGGACCGCGGTAACGCTCGGGAAGAACTGGGCGGCCTGCTTCGTCTTTTGCACAGTTTGCGCGAGAGCCTCGTTCAAAGCGTTCGCGCATTGCAAAACGCGTGTACGCACGTCGTTGCGCGTTACGTTTCGGTGCACCGTGTCACCGATGTGCACTAGCCGGTGTGCACTCAGCACGACGAACTTACCATGAGCCAGAAAAACCTGTAATTTAATATTATTAAAATTTATTTTTTTGTTACGCATGCATTGTTACAAGTTAGTAAACTCAATTTTACTTTTTTGTTAAACAAATTAAGATGTTTTTGTTCTTTAAAAAAAAAAGAAAAAAAAATTGCACTGTTCAATATAAGAATTTTTGCTCATTGATACATAAACAGAAGGAATTAGAAATTAGATTCCTTTTAAAAAATATATTTAAAATGAATATAAAATTTTTCACAATTACGATATGAAATAGATACCTTTTTTAAATTTTCGTTATTAATATTGAAAGCTAAAATACAGTTGCAATTGTTCAAATAAGCCATAGCGATGGGTTAACTATTCTAATGTTAAATTGCATCTGTTTTATATATCTTTATAAAACTAGGATTTGAGGTAATTATGCCTCGCTATTATGCTTATCATATTTGGTATTTTATGATCTAGGCGAAACAATTTTCTAATTTTTCGATGTTTTTTCTTTCGTATTTTACATGTACGTTTTATTAACCGGCTTATCTGTAGCCGCGGTAGCGATTGCGTACAATACATGTGCAAAGGAAAAGAGGTCATCGTGAAAAAGTAATGAAAATATGCAATTAACGTGCGCTTATTTAAGGTATCTTGGCACATGATAGCACCATCGATATCTACTCTTCCACCATCGTTATCTAGACCCATATTCATTTAATGTGTTTCAAAATATATTGAAAAAATATAGCTCATTGTCAAACTAAGCGCAGACCGCGTTATTCTTTTATCGTAATGCGCTTATTATATCCTTGTAAAAAGTAAAAAAATATGAATTATAAGAATTTCTAAAATAATTACAATAGATCTAATCTAATCTATTTTTATCGGAAGACAACGATAAAATACTGTGCATTGCTTTAGACAATATCGTCAAACAATAAATGCTTTATGTAATTATATTAGCTGGTTTTAAACGTAATCTATACGTTATGACAGGTGTCGTTAAAAAAAGGATGGCTACAGGTAATTCAAATCTTAAATTTTATCGAGACAAGAATATTTTATCGATGACACTCTTTAACTCTTTGTCATTTTGTCGTCAACGTCGAACAATAAATCTCTCGATATCTCCGAATAGTTTCACGTGAAAAAGTACACTGTGGGTGGCACTATAAGTACTACAAGAAACTTCGACTTAACTCACCTTGGGTGGTTGATTGTGCTCGACCGTCTGCAGGAAAGCGTCGATGGCGTGAGTCAGGTGCGCGCCGTGCGTGATCACCTGTGCGGCGTAGAAGGCCAACAATTGCTTGTCGTTGGGGTCCATGGGCGTCGGTGTCGTGGGTGGCATCTGAATCGCCGCATTGTCCGCCTCGGATACCAGCAGATCGTAATTGCTGCGCAGCTCCTGCGGCAGCAAGGCTCGTAGTTCCTCCCGCTGTTTCGCCACGACCTCTCGCGAATCGAGATTCACGTAGTCGTAATCCTCCCCGGCACCGCTATTGTTGCTGCTACCCGTGGAAATGATCGACGCTCGTTTGAAAAGCAACGTAGAATTTCCCTGCATACATAGAGCCTCTTTATCATTGGCAACAAGGATTTAAGATTCTTATCAATGTCACCGAAACTATATTTATATAATCCATTATTCTAAAAAAATGTAGAAAAATTTATAAAATTGAAAAGAGTAAAAAATTTATTTTCTAAACTTTTCGATTCCTAATCTTCGAAATCACAACTTAGATTTCCATTTGTTTCCTCTTCTTCCTATTCTTGTTTATCCATTTCAATTCTTAAACATTGATTCCCTACTTAGACCTAAGAATTCATTTTTATTCCATGCATGGAATATAGTTGCATGGCAAAGTGATACCGATGTATTATTCTAAAAAAAAAAATTTGGAAATCGATTTTTCCATTTATTTTAATTAATCATTTTAATTTATATTAATTCATCCTCTGTTTTCTTCAGGGTTATTGCGATGATTCGATTAGAATCCATTGCATTTGAGATTATGGAAGTCATTACCCGTGACAAATATATTACGATTGCGAAAGATGCTCACCTGAATGAAACTAGCAACCTGACGGACGTCTTCCGTGAGCGCTCGGGCGCACGCGATCAGCTGATCGAGGGGATCCGGCTGTACAGACGGTAGCAGCGAAGGCGGAGGTCCGTTAGTAGGTGTTGGTGTATCGCCACCGCCACGGCAGAGCTTGCTCGCATCCCATTCCATCGTGTCCAATTCGGTAGCGGCTTCCTGCACGAGCTTGTCAGAATCACGAAGCGCTTTTACTAGTGGTCGTAATTTCGTTGCCAGACCTTTGTCCGGTGCTTTGCCTGCATTGCCTAGTGTGCCTGTGCGCAAAATACGATTTTTTAAAATTTAGCAATGTATATATAAATATAATTTTGAGAAAATTTTCATAAAAACTGTAGATAAAATTGTGTCGTGAATTCGAAGAATTGTAGAGATAAAAATAATATAATTTATCTCGAACTTTTTCTTTGTGAAGATTTATAATTGATTTATATCTTTTTTGAATTATTTCATAAGATTAGCAAAAATTGGAAAAATGATAAAATGTGACGAGGAAGCTATATATCTTATCTGAAAAGTTATGAAGATACATATGTTCAAAGAATTTTTTAAAGATATATTAAATCGATAAAAGTAACGTAGCTGTAGTTAATCACCTTCTGCGAATTCAGCTAGATCGTGCAGAGATGTTCGGAGTCTGAGAGCAGCCAGCCTCAAGTCCATAAGGGTGGCGTCCAGTCGCTGCGGCGTTCTCCAGCCGGGACTGACGAAACCCAGTAACCTCGCTATCGCGGCGGACGCCTCGTTCTGCAATCTCTGCAAACCTTCCAGGGCAGAATCTATTTCCAACGGAAGCTCCTTGCTGACTGGTACGTCGTAAATTTGTTGCGAGGGTGGCGGTGGCGTCGGGGTATTCGGTACGGGAGTGTTGTGTCGAGACGGCAACGAGGATACTGGAAGACGTGGTCGAGGTACATCATAATCCGGAGCGGCCAAACTCGATCTGAAATTTAAAATCATCCATGAGGGCGCAGGCAAAGAGATCGAACATCGAAAACTTTTTAAATTTATTATTGATAACGTTGTGTACGTTGTGTACGTTGAAATTTTCTAGCGAGAAATTGCGAGCTCGGAATCTTAAGATTTTTTTTACATTTATAGTTCTATAATTTTCATATCTTTAAAACATTTTTCAGGATTTTTGAAACTTTATTCAGTTCTCAATTTATTTCAAAACTTTTAGATTCTTGGACGGACGTAAATCTCCAAGATTCTCGTATCTCTGACTCCAAGAATGACTTGTATCCCTGTAATCATCATACTTGGGAGGAATTCGTCCGAATAACGCGAAATGCGAACGAACGTACCTGTTCGAGCCACTGAGGGATCCGTCGTTGGTGAGGCTGGAGGCCGAGCTGCTGGGCGTGAGGGGTTGCAGGGGCCGCGGCACGTCGTAGCAATCCAGCGGCGTGATGCCGGAGCAATTTGAGTTAGGCGTGCAGGATGTCGGCGGCCTCGGGATGTCATAGCACGACGGGGCCGGGCTCGGGCTGCTCGCCGGCGACGGTATCACCGGGATCGCGCGTGGCGGTACGTCGTAACACTCGTTCGTATCGCCGCTACCTCCGTTGTCGACGGAATTCCGTGCGCTGTTGCTGTTGCCGGTGTATCGTCCTGCGCAGGTAGAAGTTTGCCCATTTGACAAAAGGGGTGAAGAGAAATTTCTCTTGGATCAGGTCTCCCGGGTATTTGTAAGCTAACTTGTTTGAGCATGTTTAATGGAGTGTTTCGTGAGATTTCTACTACAAGTCCCCAGGAGCTCTTTGTTCGACGAATAACGGGATCTATTATATTGAGTGAAAGTGTGGAAATAAAAGACTAATACATTTCTAGTGCAGAATACAGGTGCAAAACGGGTGCGATAAATAAATAGATGATTTTATCAATATAAAGTCCACAAAAAAGATCCAATATTTGAGAGAATATATATTTATATAAAATTTATGTATATTTTTATTCTCAAAAATTATTGCATATTCTGCAGAAAAATATCCTGTACAAGCTATACAATTTGACTGAATTTTGATCATCTAAGGAAAGATAAATAAATATTTGAAAATAATAAATTTTGTTAAATATGAGAAAAATATATTTCAAGATAATATTTAAAACTATCAAAAAATGTGTAAAATAATAGAAATTGTACATCTGTGATTTTAATTCAAAATTTCACATTCACCGATGAACTAGCTAAAAATTCTACCGCAGCTTTTTCGCGAAATAAACCAATATTTCAATTAATGAATAAACTTTAGCAGACGGCTTCATCACAACGACCACTCAGTTACAGACGGGTTGTTTAGTTTGTGAATAATACGTACCTGTATTGTGCGAATGCTCATTGTTCGTCGAGTTGAGGGGTGAGTCGTGTCTGGAGGGCGGCGCAGGACTTCCCCGACTGGCTGGAAGGTCGTATAGGTAGACGTCCCCGCACTTCTGCGGCGTAACAACCTGCATAATCAAAAGCAACGATTAATTATATCCAGATTAATTAGCAGAGTCTATGTTCTGTGTCTTCGAGCCACGTCGCGTTGCCCATTTTTCATCATACTTTACTAACTCTATGAATGCAGCGGTAAATTTTCGTGTGACAGTAAATTTAATTGATCGAACTAACTCAATTGCAAAAAAAACTGTGTTACATCCAAATTACTTTAGACATTAAATGTCAAATGTGACACAAATTAAAAAATTTACTAGTGATGAAGTTTGATGTATCACTTAATATGTAATGGCTTTCTTGAAAATAATAAACGTATAATTATATTTTTAGAGATTTAATTTAATATATAAATTTTCTTATCAGAAATTTAAAGTAAAGCAATAATTGGAAAAAGAGATACATAGACAAAAATATTATTTCTAATACATTAACTATTAATGCATCAGTAGTTGGATTTATAAATGTTTCATGATAAAAAATAAACGTATTAAATTAGAGAATTGACTATATCTTTAATTAAATATCGCTATTTTATATTCACGCATAAACTTTATCGTAGAAGCGAACAAAGATTTTCCAGGGTTTTCCGATAATTGAGTTGAAAAAAAAAAAAAAAAAAAAAAAAAGGGGAAAGATTCGATAGACACCGCAGGAGCTAAATCCACGTGAACCGCACTTCGTGACGGAACTCGTAACGAAGTTATTTGCGCGAACGCCAATCAGCTCTGTTACTCTTTCCGCTAAGGGTGATGTAACCTCGAGGACCTCGTTTGAATGCAGCCTCCTGCAGCTGGGGATTAATTCTACGAGATCGCTAATTGAGTTTTCTACGAGGAAGACTCGGCAAAAAGTGGAATTTCGATTCCCTATCGGCGAAAGAGCGCCGTTCTTTCGGAAGAAGTACACCGTAAACTTCCATAATTTATTTCGCAAAGAATGCAGAATTCATGTTTAATAAAAAATTTCGATGAACAATGTACTATTTCATGTAAGAAATTCATATAATCTTCCTTTGTCGTATGTAAATTTAATTCAATATTACTTCTTTCTAAAAGTTTTACAAAGACTTTTCACGTTTGAATTAAAATTTAAATAAAATTACCTAAAATCATATCTTTATTGATATTCTTTAAACTTAATGGAACAATTCGCCAAAGTGATAAGTAAATTTTAATAATCTCATATCACAAATTAGATACGTAATTAGCAATTAAATCAGTGCAAGCTTGTATACTTCGAGCGTTGAACCGCCGGGAAAGTGTAATTTCGCTGATAAAACGCGAACGTAGAATTCGTGGCGGCGAGTAAGTAAATACGAGAGGAAGAGGAAGAGAAATATCTCTCCCAGGAGAGCGTAATCTCGAGAACTCATCGACCGCTGTTTTGCAATAATAGAAGCCCCGCAACCCTTGCGTTACGCTTAAGCGAGCTACGCTTTTGTCCGTACTTTTTTTCCATATCTCGATATACGAACGGTAGCAGTCGAGAACTTTCTCTCTCATAGAGATAACAGAAGTTTGCAATATCGATTATTTCTTCACCGCGCAGAGAGCGAGAGCAGACTAATAAATACTTATATATAATCATAGCTAATAAACACATACTTAATAATTCAAGTTAAATAAAAAAAATTTAAGCTTTATTTATAGACATATATTATTTATGAATATTTTATTTTGTATATCTTGAAAATGTGCCAAATATGTAATAGTTCCGTAAAAAAAAAAAAATATATGTATATAGCTTTATCTTCGCAAAGAAAAGGTATCATATGTTTTTATCATTTTTATCAAAGCATATTTTGAAAGAAAATCCGTCGTATCTTTACACAAGATTACAGAATATATAGGTAGCGTGTATAGAGAGAAACTATGTGGACGCATTGTAACATTAGAGAGACAGAAGAAACGGCGGACACGCCCTGTGCATAAAAGCAATCTCGTTTACGAACTCGTCGTAAAGCTCGCGCGACCAAGAGTAATCTGCAATTTCCCCTCGATGGCCAGTTTCGCGTTCCCGAAGTGGAACAATCGGGACTTTTACTTATGTACTTACGCGGTTGAAAGTTTTCGATCGGTTAAAACTTATATCGCGTATTCTCGAAAGGAGGACGAGGAGAGTTGCGCATGCAGAAACCTTGATATATACTGTCCATGGAGTTGCCAGGAAGATGCGGCGCGAATTTGGGTCAGTTCTTATCGTTATAGGCAGGTGACCCACCCACCGAATAATATAGTGCCTCACATCTTCCAGCCAACCACACCGATAAATCATTTCGACCCCATTTAATTCGCCGATCGGGCGCGCTTGCAAGAAATCCGAAGTGATTTGTTTCAATATCTACGAAATATTTGCTTGCCAAAGTATCGAGCAAGGCGAATATAATATATATTTATTGCATAAAAATATCTTTCTGTGTTTTTGGGATTTTTTCTAAATAAGATATCGTGTATTTTCCCACGTGTCAATATTCGCTCTCTATTTATTTAATAAATGAATTTAATTTACTAAAGAAAATTCATTTATGCATAAAAATAAGTTTTCAGACTTAAATACATTTAAATACATTAATTTTAACTATAAAAAAATCTTTATTTCCAACATATTTTTATATATATATTTATAAAGAACTTTATTTTATTGATGTTACGTGTAAAGTTAGCCGTTTCGTTTTTTAATTAAAAATAGATGTCAAATCTCTAAAATCTGATGAAAAATGATATGGAATATCTTACGGAACAAAGTAAAATGCTGCGTAAACTTGCCTCAGTTTGTCTCGAGGCGATTTCTTTGGTTTACTGGCTAGAACGAAATGATACACAGACGTAAATATTGTGTAAAGGAATAGCTCTTTTCGATGATTTCAATTATTAATACTCAGAGAACTTTTACTCTGTTAAAATTTTGAATTATATACAGTTAGAGATAAACTGACTTGCACAAGTTGCACAAGAGAATGGTAAGATTAAAGAGATAAAGTTCTGAGTTTAAATATTCAAAATTTTAGAATTCAGACGTAGAGATAACCCGATGGAAATCTTTTCATCAAAAGAACAATTCTCCGCACTAATTGCCTGCTTTGCGAACACGGATTCCTTCTTGCGAGTGAACACTCGTCGCAAGAAGGCGGCTGTTACTCGAAACTGGGAAATGTGCTAATTATGCCATAAGTCACTCTTGATTATAGCTCGCCTTCTATGCGACAAAGTTGAGATTACTCCCCACAACTTACGAGCGGTTTCGAGCGAAGATGAAACTAAGAAACCGGTTATTTAAATGGAATAAATTGGCGAAAATTTATGAAAGTAATGTTTAAATTTAAAAAATTTAATCACGTAAAGTAATTATATCCTTTCAGATTTGGATTTCTAATTAAAAAAATGTTTTATATCTTTAGTGAATTATTTTTATGTATCTATATAGCTGTTTTTATTGTTGCGATTAACACATATAGAAAAAACGAATAAAAGACGTTCTTTTAAATAAAAATATGTATCTCTCGAAGGATAAAATTAATTATGTGATTCAGGATTTTAAAGACTGGATTGTCATTGATTACAGGTGAAATAATTAAAAGTAACGTTTTTCATGCTTGCTTCTAATCTATATCTTATCTTGTATAATATTCTTCCCTTTAAATAAATATAAATATATTTTTCTACTAAATCTCGTAATTAGATATTTTCATACTCTAATAAAACCGATCTTAGTATAAAAGATATTGGAAATAAATAAAAATTATGAAAAGTAATTTTCTCAGCCAATATTTTTTTTTTACGTAAAAAGTCATGAGGGTGGGAATATACGTAACGTATGTATATTATTTTATCCATAGGATATATATAATCCATACGATAAAATAATACGGAAAATCTGTATTTATTTAAATCAATGATAATTTGATAAAAACTTAAATCTATAGAAAGCGCGTTAAAATGCTCGAATTTCTGAATTTTTAGTTTTAGTACATTCACTACATTTTAATTTTTAATTAATATATGGAATATATAGAATAATATGTAGTCATAATATTTAGAATGTAGAACAGGACGACAGAGTGTGGTAAAAAAAAAAAACAGAGCGGTAGCGAACACCGGTTTAATTCGTGAATTAAGGCTGCACGCGAATACGTGCTATCGCGTGTTCTTTGTATTATTATGAATCGAATAGTACTATCGTAGTGGCGCGTAGTAGAGGGGAGTACAAAAGCGGGGAAGGGTGTTGGAAAGTTGAGAGCGCTCGTGCAATGCGAGGGTGTACTGAAACCAAACAGAGGGGATGGCGATGGAATATAGTCAGAGAGTGGGGAAGCAGGGGGTAACACCCTCGGTCGATACCGAGCGTCGCGGCGCTAACTGTGAAAGGCGTATTATTACTACGAGGGTGTATGAGAGGAAGCCAGAGAAAGAGAGTGGAACAGTGACGGATTTAAAATTTCGGAGACCCTAACAAAGATATTTGAGATCCTATGTTTCATAGTTAAAATAATTTTTGTATTTACGAGAACAATTTTTATCAAATTACGAAAAATATGAACGTTTTAAAAGTAAATAAAATATTTGTTTTTTAACTATTTAAAAACTTTTTAAGTTATAAATCTACAAATTTTTCACACTTCGGTAAAGAGAAGCCTTGTTCGCCTTTCGATCGTTTAAGATAGATGATAATTTTATCCAACTAAAAGCTAATAATTTTTGGAAATCCTGCCATTCAATTTTAAAAAGTACAAATAATTTTATAACTCAAATATCATTCCCACAAATAAAAACTAGAAAAATTAATAAATTTAAATTAATAAATCATAAAAAATAAGTTTCTGTGATAAATATATATACAAATTTAAAATATACAGTCATAATTATATATGTTTACAAATTGTACAATATATAATTTAAAAAAAAATCAATAAATATTGCTAAAAAAAAAAAAAAAAAAAAAATAAAAAAAAAAAAAAAAATTATTGGAGTTAGTTCATTAGTTTCCATGTATATCCGCTCCTGATAGGGAT